ATGGACAATGTGCCAAACAAAGAATCCGTCCATACGTCCATACGCCGCATCGTTTTATCAGCCGCAGGGTTCAAAGTGTGAGAAAAAAGTTGAGGCTTATAGTCCGGAAATTTCCTTTAAACTAAAATCAAATAAGAGAAAACTGATCCAAGTGTGTTCAAACATTATGAGACTTTTGGAGCCAATTAAGACCAGTAAAAGTTTTATTACATCAACTTACTGTATCTGCCAAAATAAGCTGATATCAGATCCAGACATTTTGTTCAGTATTGACGCTGGTATCAGATTTTCACAGCTAAATTAATTGCCAGTTTTTATCTTGTGAAAAGTGTTGGGAAGGTGACTTTTAAAATGTATTCCCCTGCAAATTACAGATTACATACCCCAAAATGTAGTTTGTAACGAAATCCATTAAATTACTTAAAGTGAGTAACGTAATCTGAATACTTTGGATTACTTGATTTGCTGTAGAGAAGCAAAGACGAGGATATTGTAACAAGATGTTTTGTCTGATAAAAGGCAATAAAAAGCCCAGACTTTACTGAACCAAATTAAAAATATTATTGATAGAAGAGGAGGAGACACGGTCCACGCAGCATGGTTTAGTCCTGTTAAATCCTGTTTGAGACATAGTTTAGACCTGTTTTTAGTCCTGGTTTAGTCTTGGTTTGGACCTGGTTTAAACCTGGTTTCAGTCCTGGTTTAGTCCTGGTTTAGTCCTAGTTTAGACCTGGTTTAAACCTGGTTTAGACCAGGTTTAGACCTGGTTTAGACTTGGTTTAGACCTGGTTTAGTCCTGGTTTTAGTCCTGGTTTAGACCTGGTTTAGTCCTGGGTTAGTCTTGGTTTAGTCTTGGTTTGGACCTGGTTTAAACCTGGTTTAGTCCTGGTTTAGTCCTAGTTTAGACCTGGTTTTAGACCTGGTTTAGACCTGGTTTATACCAGGTTTAGACCTGGTTTAAACCTGGTTTCAGTCCTGGTTTAGACCTGGTTTTAGACCTGGTTTTAGACCTGGTTTAGTGTCCAGCAATGAGTGGAATTACCGGAAAGGAAAAAAAAAAAAAAGTGAAAACAGGAAAATACCGCTGTGTAATCCGTTTATTTCAACAAAGTAACTGTAATCTAATTACCACTCACTGAAACAGTAACTGTAACTGAATACAGTTACTCATAATTTGTACTCTGATTACGTAACTCCGGTACATGTAATCTGTTACTCCCCAACACTGCTTGTGAATAATATATTTTTTCAAGATCCACAAAAGAAAGTCTGTAAAAATCATGTCTGGTATCAGTATCAGTACTCGGTATCGGCGAATCTCTAATACAGAACTGTCTGCTTGGTTTTCTTGTCCTCCTGATTCTAGTGTTTTGTTGAAGGGAACTGAAAATATATGTGGGTAAATGTGATATGACTCGAGATAATGATTTTTCCAGAAGGTCAAAGTTTAATTTTGTATTCACCTTACTCCTGAAGTTGCCGTGGGTGCCGCCATCGTCAGTCGTGTTGTATTTTTTTGCATGGGGGTCCAGATCTTGATAGTTTTATACAGACTACAAAGCTGTTTTAAAACCTCCCAGTGAATCGGTGCGGTGTTGTCTTGTTTGCGTAGACCGAGGATCTCCAACCTGAAGCTCTCCACCCCCTTCCAAGTAGCTCGCCAAGGGATTTCTAAATCATACCTATTGATCTTAATAACTAAAATCTGATTATTTTGATGCCTAACTTGTACACTAATAAACGGATACTGGTTTATGTTTTATAAGCATCTAACTGTATCCTGTCTGAAGCTCGCCGTGGCTTTTATACTTTCCCAGTTTCTTGTGACCGCTAAAATTAGTAGCTGTCTGGCATTTTCTTTTTATAAAGGAGCTCACTGGAGGAAAAAGGTTGAAGACCCAAGGTGTAGAACAACCTTCTGAGTGTAATCTAGTAGTATTTGCAATAGTAGTAGTAGTAGTTGTAGTAGTAGTAGTTGTAGTAGTAGTAGTAGTAGTAGTAGTAGTAGTAGTAGTAGTAGTTGAAGAATTATTATATCCACAACCAGGAATTGTGAATAAGTAGTACACAAATAATACAGAAATCCACAACTGAATTCCCTAACTTGTCCCTGTGCAAGTATGACTAGTAGTAGTAGTAGTAGTAGTAGTAGTAGTAGTAGTAGTAGTAGTAGTAGTAGTTAAAGAATTGTTATATCCACAACCAGGAATTGTGAATAAATAAATAGTACACAAATAATACAGAAATCCACAACTAACTTCCCTAACTTGTCCCTGTGCAAGTGTGACTATAGTAGTAGTAGTAGTAGTAGTAGTAGTAGTAGTAGTAGTAGTAGTAGTAGTAGTAGTAGTAGTTGGAGAATTGAATTGTTATATCCACAGCCAAGAACTGTGAATAATACAGAAATCCACAACTAACTTCCCTAACATTTCCCTGTGCAAATGTGACTGTAGTAGTAGTAGTAGTAGAAGAAGAAGTAGTAGTAGTAGTAGTAGTAGTAGTTGAAGAATTGTTATATCCACAACCAGGAATTGTGAATAAATAGTACACAAATAATACAGAAATCCACAACTGATTTCCCTAACTTGTCCCTGTAGTAGTAGTAGTAGTAGTAGTAGTAGTAGTAGTAGTAGTAGTAGTAGTTGTTGAAGAATTAGTAGTACTAGTTGTGGTGGTAAAAACTTCTGAACAATACTACAAGGGCACAGAGGTAGTCTAGAATTATTTGTAGAAGTAGTGATGTTGTATTATAGTCCACAAAAAAATTTGCAATTTAGAGGCAAAAGTGGAAATCAAACAGAGCCTCTCCTGTGTGCCTAAGTGCCGTGACTATTCAAATTACATCAACTTGACTGAAATCGATTAAATTAACTTTTAAAATACACAGAGCCAAGAGAAATAATTTAAAACACAAATATTGGACGTCTCACTGCCTGCTATTCCGGTGCAGTTTTTATTCATTCAGCCGAGGAGCGTGACATGATGCAAAGTGCTTCATGTTTGGAGCTTCTGCAGAGAAACGGAGCAGAGACCACAATGACTCACTCCCCTTAACTTTAACACGGAGAATATAAAACATGCTCCTGTGACACTACCATCTGACACAGGGCTGAGCAGAGCAGAGAGAGGAGGGCGTTCACTCGGCAGGAAAAATACTTCTTTTGTGGAAAAATTCTGCTCAACTTTCCAACATTTTGCACTTTTCTGTCACTTTGAGGTTTTCCAAAATAAAGTGCATGAGTTATTATTATTAAGTATTATTTCTGGGCGTGTTAGTCAGGGGATAGTCGGGTTTCTTTGCTTGTGCACCTGTTAAGGTCTCTTAATATCAGCCTCTTGGACATGTAAAACATAAAGGGATTGCTGTAACACACTTATTTCCAGTCAGATCTTTTCTAACATATTCCGTTACATGGTCCAATTAGAATACTATACTCTGAGTTCTTGGAATATTAATAATTATCTTACAGTGAAAAAAAAACATGACATATAAGCTGCACTGTGTAATCGAGAAAGAAACAATTCCAGACCATGTAGAGAGTTGAAAAAATCTCTTTAGAAAGGCTCTTCTCTGTATACAGTGGGGAAGGTTCTGACTATAGAAAGCTGGACATACATGGATTTAATTTAATTTAACATACTCTTCATGCAAGGTCGTAAATGGATATATCTTTAACTCTTAACAGAAATGCAAAATATGTCACAGAAAGATTGTTTGTATTAGTAAAAGATTGTTTACAGGGGTCTCTTGTTCCAACTATATAAATAGTGGAAACATTTTAAAACAAGAACATTTATAAATTTACTCTGGAAACAATTTCATGATGATACAGTATTGATATCGTGGCCTGCTGTATCAATACATCGCCAAGAGTATTTTTTGGTATATTTTACAAAATTATTGTGTTACAGCTCCATAGTTTTATTGCTTGTTTAGCGGAAGGAAGCTTGTTTTTGCGACACATTTGGCATATTCACTGTTTTGATTATTAAAATATTTGTGTTTCATATGAATTTTGCACAAGAAGTGGTTTAACAAAGACTTTTAGTATCACAGCCATGATTTAGCCTTTATTTTTATTGAACCGTATAGAATTGATTTGAAATATATCGTATTGAATCGAAAGTGCACTGTATCGAGATATGTATCGTAACGTGGCCTGTGTATCGAGGTATGTATTATATCGGCAACTTCTTAATGATACCCTAGCCCTAATTATTATTAAATAATTCCAAATGGTCTGTCCGCTTCCTTTCATAGCTTTTAGAGCTTTTTGTGCTGCTTCCAGACATTTATTTTCATATTAAAGCATTTGACCAATCACATTTCAGCCATCATTTGTTGAGTCAAAGTCAGAGAAGTCTGCCTGAAGCCTTCACAGTCCGTTCTGCAGGCCCTCCAACACACAGTAAATGTCCATGAAACTGTTGCTTCAACCAATCAGATTTTGGTATCATCAGGGTCTTCTAGCAGGCGCATAGCACCAGCAAAGTATCCAGACCCGTTGATTGGACAGTCAGAGAGTGGACCGGCCAAAGCAGCAAACTGCACCTTCAGCGGGCTATTATTATTATTATTATTATTATTATTATTACTATGTATTACTATTATTAATTGTGGCTACAGGAGTTATCTGTCTGCAATGCAATGGCTCTTTATACTGTATTTCTGTATAATAAGATGTTTTTATAACCATAAAATAGTTATTGAGGAGTGGACTGTTTCAGACGGAGCACCACTGAAGGCCTAGGTGTGAAATGCACGGTCCGCCACTGTGTACCATATATTCTTTTTAATTTAGGAAAGTAACTGTATTCTGAATACCACCAAATGAAAATGTAAACACCAAAATGCAGTTACTCAACATTAGTATTCACAATATTCAAATGTATTTTCAGTAAATGTTCCCAGCCCTGTTACCAAAAAATAAAAAATCTATCCAGGTTTTGAGATCTGCTTGCTATGATGACGTGACTTAAAGCTGTTCTCTCGTCCTCAGCGACATCCTGAACGGCTCTGCGGTCTGTGTGTACCGCATGGAGGACGTGGTCAGAGTTTTCAAAGGAAACTTCCTCCATAAAGAAGGACCTCAGTACAAGTGGGCCGAGTACACGGGACACATCCCCTACCCACGGCCAGGAACTGTGAGTGTTCAGTAACGCTTAAGAGCAAGAAACCTACTGCATGACTTTACAAACTCATCCCTGGGCAAGTGAGTCTGTAGTAGTAGTTGTAATAATAGTAGTAGTATAATTAATAGTAATGGAACCTCAGAACTTAACAACAATACCTAGTGCAAGTTTCTGAGTGTAGCAGCTTTTGTAGTAGTCGTAGCAGTAGTACTAGTAGTAGAATCTTAAGTATTATTATGCCCACAAACTTATTTAACTTGTCCCTGTGCAAGTGTACCTGCTGTAGTAATAGTAGTGGTAGTAGTAGTAGTAGCAGTAGTAGTAGCAGTAGCAGTAGCAGTAGTAGTAGCAGTAGCAGTAGTAGTAGCAGTAGCAGTAGTAGTAGTAGTAGTAGTAGTGTCTTAAGTATTATTATACTGACAAACTTCTTTAACTTGTCCCTGTGCAAGTGTAATTGTAGAAGTAATAGTAGTAGTAGTAGCAGCAGCAGTAGTCTTAGTAATAATAGTAGTAGCAGTAGTAGTACTAGTAGAAGTAGTAGTATCTTAAGCGTTATTATGCCCACAAACTTCTTTAACTTGTCCCTGTACAAGTGCGACTGTAGTAGTAGTAGTAGTAGTAGTAGTAGTAGTAGTAGTAGTAGTAGTAGTAGTAGTAGTGGTAGTGGTAGTAGTAGTGGTAGTAGTAGAGGTAATTGTAGTAGTAATAGTAGAATTAATAGTAGATGTAGTAGTACAATGTCACTGAACAATACTACAAGCTCCTCAGTGTAGTCTAGTTGCATTTTTAGAAGTAGTAATATTTGTTGAAGTATTAAGTATTATATTAGTATTACTAGAACCTCAAAATGTTGCAGCCCCCAATAATGAAGCAGAACAACCCTCCAGTGTAGTAATACTAATATTAACTATAATAATAATAATAACTATAATAATAATAGTTGTAGTAGTAGTACAGCTCTACATATCACTGTTTTAAAACATCCAAATATTTCTTCCAAAAGGCGCTATGTACAAAAACGTTATTATTATTATTAGAGGTAAAAGCTCCTAATTGTGAGTTCACGCCAATATAGAAACAGATATTGATTATTTGTATTTATTTATTTATTTGATTTAGAGGTGCACTATGTAACTTTTTGGTTGGGGTCTGTCATTGCCATTGCTCTGTAGTATGAGATTTAACAGCTCTATCTTACATTTATTAAACTACAGGTAGTTTAATTGCTCAAAAATAGAAAAAACATCCATTCTGACTGTGAGCGGGGTCGCCTCTCACAGATCTGACCTGTAACTTAGTCAGGTTTTGTCTCCATGAAGACAGAAACATTTAATACCAGACTGTGAAACATTCCAGACAAAGCAATAACATCTCCAGAAGAAAAGCTTTTAATGGAGCCTCCACCAGAAAAGTTGCACCTTTAAAGGTTGTATAGAGGATTTTTTTAAGGGAAGAGAAATACAGCGACAGTCCTTGTGCGCATTCAGAATTACTGTTGAAGTGACCTGTCTAGAAGTAATTCAGCGACCGACGCGTCACTTTTTAGACCCTTCGTCTGCTTCGGTCGCGCCATCGCTGGACGAGATCTCCAAGAATCACCTCAGTTTGGCTTTGCTCCTTTTCCCCTTCTCTTCTTCTTTCAGCGACCTCAAAAACTGGACTTTCTTTTGCGGCGAACCGGTCGTGGATTCTCGTCCGCCGTCGCGACAAACTTTGTGCGAAATGCGAGGAAGCGACAGTTCGAAAAAGCCTCTAAGAACCGCTGCGTAAACCACGTAATCTCCGCGCTCTGACGAGTCAGTTATACTAGGGAGTTTGATTGATAACCTAACAGCCAATAGAAAATGAGGCAGCCTCGTTTTCTATTGGCTGATGTTTATCTGGCCTCACTACGTCCACAGTTGACAGATTTTCGTTCTTTTTTTTTTTGGTCATCATAATTACAAAGCTGCTGCGTCTCTGTAATGGTATTTTAATCTTTCACTGACAGTTTGAAACAAAAAAAAAAATCCTCCATACAACCTTTAATGTTATGTTTATTGTTTATTTATTTATTTTTTGTACCTTCAGTGTCCCAGTAGCACCTATGGGAGCTACAGTTCGACTCGGGAGTACCCAGACGACGTGATCTTCTTCAGCCGTACCCACCCTCTGCTCCAGGTCTGTGCTTTCATACACCGGCCCACCGCACAACACAACATAACTGCTCTTTTAAACCCATTTTCCACGCTAAAATCAATATAATTTACAGGAGAATGTCATGCCCGTTGGAGAGCGCCCCCTGCTGTTCAGAGTGGGAGTCCATTACAAGTTCAGTAAGCTGGTGGTGGACAGAGTGGAGGCCGTGGATGGGACCTACGACGTTCTCTTCATCGGGACAGGCGAGCGAAAACTGAAATGATTTTGAGGTAATTTTTTTATTCTGAATTTGAATTTGATTTGATTTTGTTTGTTTTTTAGATTCTGGTTTGGTGCTGAAGTCCATCCACTTCCCCAAAGAACATGGCCAGGGTCAGGAGGTCACTCTGGAGCAGATGCAGGTTTTCCAGGTAACAACTTTTGCTACTCTCAGGCTGTGGACAGAAAATATGCTTTGTCTAACGTTTATTTTTTTCTATATGTCTTTCTATACACCTATATTTTTAGTAGAGAACTCTCATAAATGTAAAAGTGTAAAGTCTGTAGATTCTTATTTTAGTCCCAATAAAGGTTATGAAAGTGAACTGAAAAATACATTGTCCTCGAACATTTCACAGAACAGAATTATTCTAGATCTACATTAGGGCTGAATTACGTGACATTGAACATATTAGTAAAATGTATTAGTCTTATATGATGCTTTTCCACGAACTCGAACTGCGTTATTTATTCACTCCACATTTGGTGGTAGAAAGATACTTTTACAAGGTCAGGGTTAGATGCATTCACACACCACATTCATATTAGGCAGGGTGGGTTATAAAGATATAAAGAAGTGAACCAAATCTGGGCATACACTGTGAGATTTTTGGACCCTTTTAGAGCAGATTTTTCACTCGTGCGACTCTTTCTGGGATTGGTTCGACCACCGCATACCTCACGACCAGCTCCCGATCGGCAATCATAGGTCGCAAGAAAATCAAACCTGTTTGAAATCCAGTCGCCTCGCGTGGGGGTTTCACACTGGGCATCAGATCGTATATTGTGAGAACATGAATCGTGAGCGGTGAATTTTTAAACCCTGTGATTTGATCGTACAGTTTGAGCTGGGGCTGAGTGAAACAATCGAAAATATTGCACAGTTTATGTCCGGCATAAGGCACCGTGATGTCACCCATAGTGTTCGGCTGCAGTCAAATGAAGCTCATCGAGGCTGGCAGATATTCAAGCGAATTGGGAGCCAGATCCATATTAGGACTAGGAATTTATTTACAGGCAAAAAAGAGAGAGGGCTGACAGCTTTTCGGTGTAAGTGTAATTTTTTCATTGAGTACGACGAAGCGCCCCCATTTTCACTTCCGATTTGGATGCAGCAGCTAGTGGGTTACTTATGTTCATTTATATACAATGGTCTCCCATTTTAGTAGTAAACAGACCCAGTCCTGCTTAGCTTCTGAGATCAGAGGAAGATGTTATATTTTATTAGCCAGGTTGACGCCACCTAGTGCCTTCGCTTCATTTTTCTCCAGGGACTAGGTCAGGAATCAGAATACACTAGACGGTTTGTAAGAACCCTGGAAGTTGTAGACCGCGCACCGGCCAATCAGCGAAGAGCTGTGAAGCCATGACGTCAAACTCAAGCATCTGTCTGGGTCCCTTGAAGGCACAACAGTAAACAAAGCTGTTGAGATGGATGTAGACGAAGACAGACATTCTTTGTTGGCAATGATTCCCGAGATCGAGGATTTAAAGCTGGAACAAAGAGAATGTTTAGTGAAATTTGTCAAGGGGAAAGACGTTATTGCCCTTCTTCTTACGGGATTTGGTGCATTACGTCACAACCAAATAACAGCGATTGGTTACATTAAAAAAGTACCTGCCTGCCGTCGAGTGAACAAATCCTAATGCAGTTTCCGTGAAGTGAACCCAGCCAATGAATCAGACTAATATTTTATACCGGTCTTGCCACAAAATTTGCCCATTGGATGCTTTTTTAAAATGAACTTAACAGCAGGGGAAAAGGTACATTTGTTTAATTTCGAGCAGATTCATAAGCACAAGAAGTTTACATATATCTAGTACACTTAATCTACATTTCACATATATATATTTTGAAAAGGAGTGGGAAGAACATTTATTTAATCCCATCCCTTTTTTCATGTTGTACCACGTAGAATAGTTGCTTGTATTCCGAAGCAATGTAAAAAATACCAAAATAAGGACGATTATTAAATTATGTATTGTCATTCTTTTGTTTTAGCAACCAAAGACACAAAATTCAAACCAGCTTCTGTAGTTAAGCCCCCAAGGGCAATACCTCTCCACTAATAATCCATAGATATGATAAAGACCCTTTTTCCACGCTATAATGACATAAATATGCATGCTTTACACTGTACTGTGCATCTGTGGGTACTTATGGAGAGAAGAGCAGATGTGGTCACCGTAATCAGACTCCTCTGCTCCGTGTTCGAGATCCACTGACATCATTTCACTAGATTTAAATTATTCTGGTTTTGGAAACAAGCCCGAGGTTATATTATCCACCCACTATTGTTCTACACTGCATTCTTGGTATTCACTGGATAAGCTCTTATATAAAGTACTAAATAATATTACTGTGACTATTTTGAAATATGCTCCAAGAAAGAGGCAAAATTCTTTCATCGGTTCTGTGTTGCTGCTATAAATTTGCAAAAATATGATAAAGCATTGACATCCCATTTTAATATTGATTGATTTTTTTGTTTTGTTTTGTTTTTCGTTTCGAGTTTGTGCCAAAAGAGAAACAATAATCATACTGCATATTCAGAAAACATTTCTCAAAAAGGAGTGGGAAGAAGAAGAAAAACTGATATGAACCCACCCCTGTTCATGACAAAAATGTTTCAAATGTTCATGACAAAAATGTTTAAAAAATGATGGGGTTTCTTATGCACATTGATCACGGAACTTTACAAATATTTACATATAGTAAAATAAATTTCATACTGTCATACAAACTGGTAACAATGACAAAGAGAGCATAGAAGTTCATCTTTTATAATCGTATCAAAATAAGCAAAATGAGAATGAGAAAAATGTGAGGATTTCTTTTGTTTTCGTTTATGGTCGCACAAATGAACAATAATGACAAAGGCACAAAATGTATTGTTTATGATCGTATCAAAAAAAAAAGGCAGTGCCAAAGAAAAGCATGTGTTTAACCAATACTCATAGACTCTAGTCTTCTACGTATTTGTGTAAGTTTTGATTTTTATTACACAAAGTTGACTCTTGTGAGCTTCAATTCATGTTATAATGCTGTTACCTCATCAAAAACAGACCTGGAGTTGTGTTTTGTTTCTTTCATGTTTGAGTAATCCATTATTATTAGTCTGTTTACATCTCTAAATCTCAAAATGCTCTGTTCTACCTTGTGATGTCATGTTTTATCTTTTCTTAAATTGAGATTGTCAATTCCAGGGCTGAAATTATCCTAATGATTCTAGTGGAGGTGTATGGAGTTTAAAAACACAGTGGAGCACTTCCTTCTTGTACACACACTTTTTTTTTTCTCTTTTTATGCAAATAAAACAACTTACAAAGTTAACTAACAAAAACAAATCACTCAAGAAATACAAGTAGCATCATACAATATAATAATAATAATAGAATGATAATAAGTATACTACTACTACTATTATTAATAACAAATAAAATTATATAATAAATAAATACATAAATAAAAAGGAGGGTGGGGGGTTGGTTTAGACTTTTTCAAAAAAGTCAATAAATGGTTACCACTTTCTAAAAAAAATTGTTTATGTTACCTTTGCTGGAGACAATAATCAACATTTAACAAATTAGAATAATCAACATAAAACAAAACACAAAAACATAAAGCAACACCCACAACAAATACAAGACAAAAAAAATAATAATAATAAAAAATTTCCCCAGACCAAACACACTGACACAAATTTAGTTTAAAAAAAACCCTTACATTGATATATTTTGGATAATTTATAATAGAAATTCCTTTTCTCTCTTATTCTTCCTTTTTTTTCCCTCCCATTTTTAAATAAACAGTTTTAGTCCCTATACTTAAACTAATATTATTTTCTCCATCATCATTTTCTTTCATCATCTTTTACTATTTATTATAAACTCAAAGCAGAATTTTAACGGCATTTTTTTTTCTTTTTTTTTTTTAAATAAACCTTCTCAAATTGCTTGTTAATAATATTTTCTTTGTTTCAACCTGCAGCACAAGTCTCCAGTGACGGCCATGACACTCTCCAAGAAGAAGGTACCTCTCCCCTCCGTACACACACGTACACACACACACACACAAACACACAAACGCACACACACACACACACACACACAGATGTCCTAACTCCTTTTACTGTACACAGATCGACACCGCGCACATTATACAAACACAGAGAAACACACAGCTATCATCAGTCATCTCACTGAGCTCCGTCTCCAAGGACCGTCTCCAGCACCTGTTGCCATGGTGACACAGCATCCGTCGGCGCAGCAACAGGACGAGAGCGGCTCCTTTGGTTTATCACGGCCGAGTCTGAACTGATACGAAATGATCTACAGCGTTTCAGGGTTATCGCAAAAACTTCAATGTAGCTGCATGTTTTTCACGCAGGCAAACGTGAAAATAACAACAATTTGATGCAGAGATACAGTTTGAAAACCTATTTTTATTACTTGTTTACATTTTTTTTTTTTACAATTTTGGAGGGGAAATTAACCAATATGTTACCAGTCATTATTTTTATTCAATATCGGAAAAATATTTATTACTTTTTATGTATTTTTTGTCTATAGTTTGGTGCATAGGTCCATTCTGAAAACCTATTTTTATTACTTATTTACTTAATTTTTGAAAAAAATATGGGGGGAAATTAACTAAAGTGTTACCAATCATTATTTTTGTTCAATATCAGAAAAATATTTATTACTTTTTATATATTTTTTTGTCCACAATTTGGTGCAGAGATACATTCTGAAAATCTGTTTTTATTACTTATGTACATCTTTTTTTTTTTTTTTTTTTTTTTTTTACATTTTTTGTGGGAGGAATTAACCAGAATGTAACCAGTCATTATTTTTGGTCAATATCAGAAAAATATTTATTACTTTTTATATATTTTTATCTACAATTTGATGCAGAGATCCATTCTGAAAACCTATTTTTATTACTTATTTACTTTTTTTTTTTTTTTGTGGGGGGGGGTTTATATATTTTTTGTCTTGAATATGAATTATATTTTATTATTTAAAGAGGGGGTATTATGTAAAATCAAACTTTTTGGAGCTTTCTACAGTCAAAAACATGCTTGAAGTGGTTTTGTACCTGCAAAGTCAAGTCTTAAAGGTGCACTGTGTAACTTTTTGGCCGGTTGGTCTGCTTAGAATGTTCCACAGTGTGACATTAAACATCTCTACCTTATATTTATTCAGTTTCAGGTGGTTTTATAGCTCAAAAATACCTAGAAAAACAGGAATTCTGACTGTGAGTGGGGTCGCCTTTCCACAGATCTGACCTGTAGCTTGCTAAGGTTTGGTTTCCATGACGATAGAAAGGTTTAATACCATACTGTGAAAAGAAAAGTTACACAATTTTCATAAACCACAGATCAAAATATTGCGTTTGAATTTCTTTATCGGCCCCTGTGACCTTTTGTCCACATGGATCAGAAAAACATTTCCACGATAGACGCACGGTAAGAACTGGTGTACCTCTCAACCTAGCAGCACCAACCTTTTTCTGCCCTTTTTATAGACTGACAGGCAGCAGCACATAAAGTCCACAGTAAGAAAGTACATTTTGGCTCCTACACGCCGTATGTCATCCATGCATATCTGAGGAATACAGCAAATCTCCAGAGCTATATCACGTACACGGCTCAGCAACATCACCCGGGCTCCCACATGGACATTTTTCATGAATATACAAAACAATACGCTACGACTTCACAAACCTGATGCAGTGTGCAGCAGTGTCATTAGTGGGATACGCGTGTTGTGACAGCGCTCTGAAGGGGGAGCGAGTGAAGTGTCAAAACAATAAAACTTAACAGTAAATCTATCCAAGTCTCACGATACGATATCGTCAGGGTATGAACCTCACAGTACGATATTGTCAGAAAGCTCACGATATGTTGGGAAGGTTCACGATTAGGGATGTAACAATATCCAATTCTCTCGGTACGATATTTTCACGATGTACATCTCACGGTACGATATTTATTGCGATAATTTGTGCAGGCAAACAAAACTTTTTTCCTCTTAACCCTCTCAGGCTCAAATAAAATTTTAGTGACAGGAAAAAATCTGATATTTGGGGAAAATGATCATATGGGGTAGTAATATACAATCCTGGCTTTTTGTTTGAGAGACCTTCACATCCAGTGAGTTCTGGGATGTTGCAGATTTTCAGCATTGGTCCGGTGTGGAAAATTAACACTGAAGACTGAAAATGATATGAACGCTAACTTTATTTGTAAACCACTTTTCATAACAATGAAAACATAAAGCACAGTGTAACAGCTTTACAGTGGCAGAACAACATCACTTTTTCGTGTGGTTCTCCAAGAAACAATTTTTATCCTTTGTAAACAACAAAAGTACTTTGCACTTCTGGCAGGTCGTTTGTGTGTAGTCATTTTTGCACAGTCTGCATCATCCACGTTTATCAGCATGGATGGGAAAAAAGACTCCTGAGTAAAACAAAGCTCACAAAATATGGATTTGGAGTAAGTAGGTAATTGGCATTTAGCTGTTGCAAATCTGCAACGCCTGCCTGGAGACTTAATCCAAAGAACTAAGACTTAAAAGTGCTTAGAACTGTTTTTTCTTCTTGTAGTCTGCACTGAAATGGAGCAAAGGATCATGGTCTATGTAGTTCCATGTTTTTTTTAAGCTATTGCTGCACCATAACTCTTAATTTAAGCAAAGAGACTTGTAATTCGATATATTGTGATGGTCCACGATCCTCTTTATGTAGATAACACACAATATTTTGACTTTAATTATCCTGCCTATTGCATTTTAACATATCATATAATTAGATAAAGATGCAAAATTGTTGATCAGTATAAAATAATGAACTAGAAGGAGGTGTAGGTGACTTTTCTGGTGGAGGGTTTGTCAAATGCCTTCCTCCATAGAGTTATTACTTTGCCTGGAATGTTCCAAGTATGGCATTAAACTTTTCTATTTTCATGGAGACCAAGTTACAGGTCAGATCTGTGGAGAGGCGTCACCGCTCAGAGTCAGACTACCTGTTTTTCTAGGTATTTTTGAGCTGTACAACCACTTGTAATTGAATAAATGTAAGGTAGAGCTGTTTAATGTTATACTGTGGAACATTCCAGGCAGACAAATGGCATATCCATAGAAACAAGCATATATCAGACCCCCAACCACTAAAAGTTACATAGTGCACCTTTAACATAACTTGACAGCCAGGAGGCAAACTAGAGTGGAAGATTTTCACTGCTACAAAACCACTTCAGGCATGTTTTTAATGAGGAAACAATGTTGCTCCAAAAAGTTGATTTTACATAATACCCCCTCTTTAAATAATAAAATATAATTCATATTCAAGACTGAGACCAAAACAGGCCAAGTTACAGGTCAGGTCTGGGGAGAGGCGACTCCGCTCACAGTCAGAATGCCTGTTTTTTAGGTATGTTTTTGTTGTAAAACCACTGTAATTGAATAAATGTAAGGTAGAGCTGTTTAATGTTATACTGTGGAACATTCCAGGCAAAGCCCCAAACAAAAAGTTACACCACCCCTCCTTTAACATAACATATCATTATATTACCGTACAAAACTGTTGGCTTTGGATCAACATAAAATAAATGTAATCACATTTACCGTATTTTCTGCACCACAGGGAGCACTTATAAGCCTCCAACCCCATCAAAACACGACTGCGCGCGCCACAATCCAGCGCGCCATATACACGAATCCACTCGGGTGTCCCAGAACGACTTCAGTAAACTGTAAAGCCTCACCACCCGCAGCGCACGCAAACACACACGGAGCAGACAGCGACCGCACAGCGAAAAACACCCACAGACACACTCATCACTCATCACTCCACGCCGACGAGGAACGAACCGAAAAAGCGATTGCAATGTGCCACTTCTAGACACAACTGAACATCTGAGTCACTGCGAACACGGCAACAATCCGTTGGTCCCAGACAGCACCCTCCCTACACGCCACAACTGAACAAAGCCCAGAGTCACCGTGAACACACCAAACAAAGTCCCACTGACCCATCCAACTGTTGTGTTTCCTTTAAAGTCCGGTGCGGTTTATTTGTGAAAAAAGTTCGAAAATAGACCATTTAATGAGAGTGCGTCTTATAATCCAGAGCACCTAATAGTGCGGAAAATATGGTAATAGTTTTTGAGGGCAGACATTCAATCCAGTAAATTCCATATTACGCACTCAAAAAAGCAGCATGAATCTGAAATGCAGTTTTATCTCACACTGCCCTGTTCCCCTCTGTCCTCTTTACAGCAGTGGTTGTATGTCGGGTCTGGAGAGGGCGTGTCCCAGCTCTCCCTGTATCACTGTGAGATGTACGGTCAGGCCTGCGCCGAGTGCTGCCTCGCCCGAGACCCGTACTGCACCTGGGACGGGCACGCCTGCAGCCCCTACATGCCCACGGTCCGCAGGTAAGACACACAGGACTCACAGGGATGGGACAAGAGCTCGTGCAACAAGATCTCGCGAGACAAAATTGCTACAAGATTGTGCAGACATGAAGAAAGTGATCTTGTGAGATGTGAGAAGTGCTGGAGAGTGCACTTTTTTAGAAGCTGCTGTTTATTTATTTCAGGTTTTGTGGTTCGAGCATGTTTGAGCAATCTTTAATCTCTTTAATCTTTAATCTTTTTACTGTCTGGTACATAAACACTGCTCTGTACTTACTTCATTCTCCAATTTAGGTACAAATAAAAAAAAAAAATCTGCAGTACGTTAGAGTGATCTGCAGTTATTCGTTGAAGGCGATGACGTTTACGGCGACATCAGCTCTCATTGGGCATCTCAGTTTTCTAACGTGGAAGTCAGTTCACTTGTTTCTTTTATGAAATCGTTTTAGATAAATTTTGCGATTTAAAATGCCAAAATTATAATATAATGATCCCCGAGTGTCTTAAATTATAGCTACAGAAGACACAAGCACAAGAGGTCTTCCTTAAATAAAATAAATGAACATCGTGAGACCAAAATTGTGAACGTTTTGTCTCATCTTGTGGGAATTGAGTCTTGTCCCACCCTTACTAACTAACTCTTCTCTCACACCAAAACTATACTCTATATTCTGCCGTTTCTTGGCTGCATTCCCTCAATAGAGGCTTTGCACCGTCACGTGTTCCCCATGGCAACGATACCTACGCCGCCATGACACTGGGCACACTATGTCATTGACTTCAGCAGCATCGGAGAAACATGGGCAGGTTTTGTTGTGTATTTGGTTGTTCTAGATGCTCTGAAAGAGATAAAACGATTTGTTTCTTCACTGTTCCTCTGGAAATTACCCATCAGGATCAAACAAGGGAATTATCGAAAAAAAGACGGGAATTATGGCAAGAGAACATAAACCGTGGAGAGATTTCCTATGGAACCATCAAGACACACTCACGTCACTTTCATCAAGGTATTTGCTTTTTAAATTTTTTCATAGTTTATTTAATGAGAGAAGCACATTTACTGAACTAAAATGTAAAAAGAAAACATTTGCAGTGTGAGTGGCAGTAGAAACTGTATCTTCCAGCGCACATATAAACATGTCACTCGTCGTAGGACCCATGTTTTCTTTATTGTCTTGCTTATCCACAACTATGTCTTCTAGAATTAATCTCTTTTTGCGAGTGGATCTTTCTAACGTTCGCGAGGATCTTTTCATGGTCGATTCTTTCAAGGTTCGGCTCACAGACTCTTCAACTCGTGCGTCATGTTGATCACAGGAGCCCAGTGTGGGTTCGTTGAATCGTAAACTAGTGCGGGTTTTCCTGGATAAATTAATGACATTTTAGTTCAGTAAATGTACTTCTTTCATTAAATAAGCTATGAAACAATTTAAATAGCAAATACCTTGATGAAACTTCGGGTGTCTTGATGGTACCACAGGAAATCTCTTCGCGTTTTATTTTTGCATCTTTTTTCGATAATTCCCTTATTTGATCCTGATGAGTAATTTCCAGAGGAACAGTGAAGAAATGAATCGTTTTATCCCTTTCAGAGCGTCTAGAACAACCAAATACACAACAAAACCTGCCCACGTTTCTCCGATGCTGCTGAAGTCAATGACATCGTGCCCGGTGTCATGGCGGCGTAGGTACTGTTGATATAGGGTCACGTGACGGTGCAAAGCCTCTATATCTTTTTGTTTATACATCGGGTGTGGAAAGTAACAAATTACAAATACTTTTAGCATGATTGCACTTTTCTGAGTAGGTTTTTAAACATGTACTTTGACTTGTAATTCACTATAATTCTAGCCATGTATACAACTTTACGTTTAAGATTATTTTATTATTTTTGTATTATTATTAGTTTATTTATTTAATTAATAAAGTAAAAAACACATCAACAGTGTCACAACATACAAGAAACGAATGAAAAGGAGCAGAAAGAAGAGTCATCTTACGTTATCTGCCCCTTTTTCCCTTTTCAAGACAAAACATCAACACTGATAGTCACTTTAAAACATTTCAAATTAGTATGTTTCAGTTCTGTCACAAATATTAATCAACTGAAAATAGAAATCTTCACTCTTATGCACAACAACTTTCCTTTTTCATACAAACACATTGCACTGGATTTTATGTTTCTTTTAAATGCCATCAATTTGTGCCTGATTCTTTTATATCTTCGTCAATACTGTTTCATAAATTAACTCCTTTCACAGAGATGCTTCGCTCCATAACCTTGGTTCTGAATCTGTTTTTTTTTTTTTTAAACATGTTAATTTGTAGTGGCTTATTCTCATCTCAAACAAACTTTGAATATTTACATGTAAAACATCGCACTTTGCTTTATACATGACTTTGAGGAGACTTAAGTCAACAATATCCTGCATTTTCAACACTTTAAGTTGAACAAATAATGGGTTGGATGGCTCTTTATAATGACTGTTGGTGATAATTCTCAAGGCCCTTTTCTGTAAAATAAATGTAATAAATTATATAAACAAATTTAAAATCACAGGAATTAGTAGTCTACAGGTTGAAATCATTACAAAATCATCCCAAATCATGGTTGTCCCATTGTTGTCTTTGCTCTTTTCCTCATTAAATCAATTAAATCATGCCTCAGGTTTTGATTTAAAAAATAAAAATCGCTTAAGTAGTATTTGCCATGTGTACTTCATACTTTTACTTTTTCTTTCTACACTATACTACAAAATACAAGATAGAAGAAGAAAAGCGTGTATAAGTTCTGAACTATGCTACTACCACTGTTGGGCAAGTTACTTTAAAACTGTAATGTGTTATTTATGACTTGTTACTGTCATTTCAAAGTCATTTGTTACATTACAATATTACTGTGTTTAAAATGTAAAACATGACACGACTATTGCAGCAGTTTTAAGTTACTCTCACCAAAATGACTGCAAAGATGCTGAACTTTTGTGCTGTATGTGGACTAAACCAGGTCTAAACCAGGACTGAACCAGGACTAAACCAGGACTAAACCAGAACTGAACCAGAACTCAACCAGGACTAAACCAGGACTAAACCAGGACTGAACCGAGGACTAAACCAGGACTTAACCAGGACTAAACCAGGACTAAAACCAAACCAGGACTAAACCAGGACTAAACCAGAACTGAACCAGAACTCAACAGGACTAAACCAGGACTAAACCAGGACTAAACCAGAACTAAACCAGACTAAACCACTAAACCAGGAAACCAGACTGAACCAGGACTAAACCAGGACTAAACCAGGACTAAACCAGAACTGAACCAGAACTCAACCAGGACTAAACCAGGACTAAACCAGGACTGAACCGAGGACTAAACCAGGGCTAAACCAGGACTAAACCAGGACTTAACCAAGGACTAAACCAGGACTAAACCAGAACTTAACCAAGGACTAAACCAGGACTAAACCAGAACTGAACCAGAACTCAACGAGGACTAAACCAGGACTAAACCAGGACTGAACCAGAACTCAATGAGGACTAAACCAGGACTAAACCAAGGACTAAACCAGGACTAAACCAGAACTGAACCAGAACTCAACCACGACTAAACTTGGACTAAACCAGGACTAAATTAGGTCTAAGCCAGGTCTAAACCAGGAACAAACCAGGACTAACCCTGGACTAGAACTTGAAATCTAGGACAGCCCCTGAGAGAACCCCGAGCCTGTGGAACAGGGCGTCTGCAAGGCGCGATCGGACGTTTCACCGCTGCTGATATCGCAGTGATTTTAGCGAATTTGTATAAAGAAAAACCCACCACTTCAATCCAGGTTAAAAATGCAATGTAACACGTTTTACTGACATTTGTACCGAGTAAAATATACAAATTTTTCCACTGTAATTACATTACTTTACGCACAAACAATGTATTACTGTTATTACACTTACACACTTACACTACTACACTATATATACTATACGATTTTGGCAGAGGTATTTGTACTTGTATTTGATGACATTTTTGGGCGCTCTCTGTCGTACCATCTGTTGTATATTCACTATCACTCCTCAGCACATGTCCAAACTAACCGTAATCTTGAGGAAGCTGACGTTATCTCCAAAACATCTAAAGTTTGCCAACTCTCAGATATACTCCTTAATCCTTTCAATCCTCTTCACGAGTAAAGAGATCATATCAGCTCTGCTCCTGTCTGCTCCTGTCTGCTCCTGCCTGTTCCCCTGTCTCTGCTCTCACCTCAAAATGAAAGGTAAAAATTAGAATATCATGAAAAACTTACATATTTACAGAGTTCACCTTTCAAACTTTTTCATGACATTCTAATTTGAGATGTACCTGTATATAACATGTCGAATTTCAGGGCAACTTCCAGCTTAAATCGAACCCAAATCTCCAAAAGTTTTATGTAGTTTCACTTATTTTTGTCTTGTAGGCGAAACGCTCGTCATCTGGGAGAAGAGGAGGACCCACTCACCCAATGCGTCAGACAAGGAGGTAAGTATTAGACCGAACTATTCAAGTCTGTTCAATTCTTCAATTGGAGCCATGTACATATTAGGAAGAGAAATTTGTTTACTGACAAAATAGCAAAATAAAAACACCAGGATCATGTAGAGCGGGTTAATCTGAACATTTTAAAACCAAAATAACCAGGCTCACTGAAGTTACAGAGACAGGAATTACAATTTTTCAATATAAAGCCAATAGATGCATCACAAATTTCTGACTTCCGGTCATCGCGCCATGTATACTGGGAAGGATTTTCTGAAAAAGTGAGCATCAAATCGCCATGTTTATTTTCCCAGTGGGATGCGTCCATTGACAAAGCCAGTCTTTTCTAGTCTTTTGAACCGTATCGCTTTTGTTTCTGGTTCTGATATTGTCATATTGTAGCTATGGGATTTAGACATCGTAATTGTGTGGTTGTTGGATCCTAACAGCGAAAAACAGGCTTCGGAAGTTTCTGAAGAAAGTGAGAGCTTGTCTTGTTTGTCTTCTGTACCTCTCGCTTAACAAACTGGATTTTGCTTTGCTGGCGCTCCACATACAAAATGTTCGCTCCAAACTCGGGATGATTTTCTTAGGCAGCCAAAGGTTTCCTTTTTCGTCCTTCCCATCACCTTAGCCTTTCACTATTTTTCAATTCCACTGGGAAGGGAAACAGTTTGAACTGAGGTTTTACATAGTTTCACACAGATCTGATTCCCGTTTGCATTTATGGAGTTTGCAAACTTCCAAAGCCCATTTCTTGAGCCGTTTTCCACTGTTAGGATCCAACAACCACACAACTATGATGACCGAATCCCATAACTAAAATATGACAATATCAGAACCAGAAACAAAAGCGATATGGTTCAAAAGACTAAAAAAGACTGGCTTTTGTCAACAGACAAACATGGCGATTTGATGCTCACTTTTTCAGAAAATCCTTCCAGTATGCACTGCGTAATGACCGGAAGTCTGAAATTTGTGATGCATCTATTGAGCCAGAATCGATGGAGCCCAGCATGTCTCATCTCATCTCTCTCCCGTCTGCAGTTAGTCCAGAACTCCGCAGCGTGACTTTCAGATTAGGTTGCTTTATTTGTATCTGTAGGTAAATTTGTTTTGCAGATTTGAGAGTCAAAACAAATCCACATTGTACATCATCCACATTATGTACAATAAACACATATGAAAACTAAAATAAAGTGTTACAGAGCTCCAGTGCAGAATGGCTTAGTTCCATAAACAATTAATTGAATTCATCCATCATGCTTGGCTAAGATCACAATAAACAAACATGATTTTTTCAAGACAACATACTAAAATTTATAGATAATTAGATGACAATAGTACGATAGCAGCTGGAACGAAGCTCCTTTTAAAATGATTTGTTCTAGATCTTGGGACTAAAAGCCTCTGACCACAGGGAAGCAGCTGAAACTCAGAGTTCAGTGGATGTTGCACGTCTTTTAAAACCCTCAGGGACATCCTCTGTAGGTGTCTTGAGTACAGAGAGTCCAGGCAGCTCTGAGGGTGGCCAATCACCTCACTCGCCCATTTAACCTACTGATTCTGGGAGTTGTTGTTTTTAACAGGAACCAAAAGACCAGAACATAACAGACTAATCCTTGTGTCTTTGCACTGGCTGCCTGTTCGATTTAGAATTGATTTTAAGATTTTGTTTTTGACGGCTTGTTTTTAAAGCTTTGAATGGTCTGGCCCCACGTTACGTCTCGGACTTCATCCAGATTTACACCCTCGCGTGCTTTGAGGTCCGAGGTCCAGCTCTAACTCATGGGGCCTAAGGCAAGACTTAAAACCAATGGGGGACAGGACCTTTTCTTTTCTACGACCCGCCCTAAGCTCTGGAACGCTCTGCCCCCCCTGTGTCCGAACAGACCCCACAGCGGAGAGTTTTAAGTCTCGTCTTAAGACCCACTTTTACTCTCTGGTTTTTAACGCCGCATGAGTTGTGTGGTCCTCTGTGTCTTTTATTTAATTTAATACGTTTAATTTTTAGATATTTTTATTCATTTTTGTATCATTTTTAGCTTTTTGCATTTTATTTATTTATTATTTTTATTTACGACTTACTGATTTAAATAAAGTCGACTGAATAGGATTGAGCCTGAAAGCGCCCCATGAACACTTCCTTTACTGTATATATAGGCGAGTTTCAGCTGACGTCATTGTTATTAAAAGCCCGCGTTGCATGCTGGGAAATATTTTGGTCGGAGGCAAGAAACACGATAGCGTCAAACACAGTGCGTAACCTCGCGTATTTATCCCCGATAATGGTAAATTCCTGCTGCATTATCGGATGCACAAATAGAAGCACGGAAGAAGGAAAATGTCTTTTTCGTATTCTGAGTGAAAAGAACCACTAACGGTGAATTAAACGGCTTTCAAACATTCGCAGAGCAAACGTAGAAGATCAAACCGTGGACTCCAACAAGTTCAACAACACATCGAGACTCTTGGAGGTTTTCATCTTTTCTGCTGTGAATGGCCCAGGAGTTTCCACCAAGTCATTGTGGATATCGCCGAAGTGAATATTTGTCCAGGTAGTTGGCGATTCTGACCAGAAATTTGGTTTGGTCCACCTTTTGTCGGGGTTGAAAAGGGTGATTTGTCGTCCGTCGATGCTTATGACCAATTTCTGGTCAAATGGTCTTGGGTCCTCTGCCGTTAGAGTGGATAAATAACCGGGATCAATACCCTTTACGTGCTTTCTCGCTCCGTCCGTCATGTTGAATTAGTGTTTCTTGCCGCAGACCAAAATAATTCCCAGCATGCAACGCGCGCTTTTGTCAACAATGAAACTCGCCTATACAATCTATGACCACATATCAAGTACGTCCGGTTGTCTGTGTCACTAAACGGGCCCCTGTTGTGTGTCCGGCCCTCAGCTGGTCTGCAGGTGGAGGCGGAGCAGCGCGTCATGATGGTCGCGGAGGGAAACAGCACATACCTGGAGTGTCTGCCCCGCTCCAGACAGGCCTCAGTCACATGGTACAAGCAGGCCGGAGAGAACAGCCCCGAGCTCAACCAGGTACTACTTTTACTGGAATAAATAATAACATAAAGGTAAATTAAATCTGCATATTACCTGTGAATAAAATAGTTGACACACATATGAACAATTCTGATAAAAGTAGACACTTAAATTTTAGGGGACACGGTGAGATTTTAAAGATTCTTGCTCCAGGTGGAACTCGAAATCAGCAAACTCAGCATCACTCTACACCACGTACCGACCGATTACACCACTGGAGCTTAGTAGTGTTTGTAATGAATAGTAGCCTAAGTGAAATCCTCTCTATGTGTCAAGAGATGAGCAAATCCGTTCAAATGACCCGTGTCGCCTTCTTGGAGTCTTCTCAGAGTGTGAGGCATCTCTTAGAAATTCCTTACATGTTTCTTACTTAGAGAAATCTCAAACAGGCCTAAGAGTGAAGCTTTGGGTTTTATACGAGGATATATAAAGTCTTGCTCCAGGTGAGGCTCGGACTCACAACCTCGGCGTCACTCTGCAGGTCACTGTCTTATAAGTACCGCGCGCTGACCGATTGCGCCACTGAAGCTTAAGGAAGCTACCGCTGTAGATTCATTAAGACACAATTAAAATAAAAGACATTAAAGTTTTCAATTAACTTACTTTATATACTACCTTTTTGCTGTGGTGGAAAAAAAACAACAACAAGATAAATCTCTAAATGTCTTAACTTTGTCAATGTCTTTCTCTCTTTGTCTCTTCTGTCTCTCTCTCTTTCTCTCTCTGTCTGTCTCTCTGTCTCTCTCTCTCTCTCTGTCTCTCTCTCTTCTCTCCATCTGTGTCTCTTCTCTGTCTTCTCTCTCTTTGTCTCTCTCTTTCTCTCTCTCTCTCTCTCTCTCTCTCTGTCTCTCTCTCTCTCTGTCTCTCTGTCTCTCTCTCTCTCTCTCTCTCTCTTCTCTTCTCTCTCTGTCTCTCTTCTCTCTCTCTCTGTCTCTCTCTCTCTCTCTCTCTCTCTGTCTCTCTCTCTGTCTCTCTCTCTCCGTCTCCCTCTCTCTGTCTTTCTTTGTCTCTCTCTGTCTCTGTCTCTCTCTATTCTATCTCTCCCTCTGTCTTTTGCTTTCTCTCGCTCTCTTCATCTCCCTCTCTCTGTCTTTCTTTGTCTCTCTCTGTCTCTCTCTCTTCTCTTTCTCTCCCTCTGTCTGTCTCTCTCTGTTTCTTTGTCTCTCTCTTTGTTTCCCTCTTTCTCTCTCCGTCTCCCTCTCTGTCTCTCTCTTTCTTTCTCTTCTCCTCTCCTCTCTGTCTCTCTCTCTCTCTTCTTTCTTTCTCCATCTCCCTCTCTGTCTCTCTCTTTCTCTGTCTTCCTCTCTCTCTGTCTCTCTCTTTCTCCGTCTCCCTCTCTGTCTCTCTCTTTCTTTCTTTCTCCGTCTCTCCCTCTCTGTCTCTCTCTTTCTCCGTCTCCCTCTCTGTCTCTCTCTTTCTCCGTCTCCCTCTCTGTCTCTATCTGTCTATCTGTCTGTCTCTCCCTCTCTCTTTCACTGTTTTTCTGTCTCTCTCTCTCTCCGTCTCCCTCTCTCCCTCACTCTCTCCTCTCTTTCCCCTTCTCCTTCTCTCTCTCTCTCTCTCTGTCTCTTCAGGTGTCGTCAGGTGACCAGGTCCTCGTCTTCGATCGCGGCGTCCTGATCCGCCGCGCCGAGCTGTCCCACGGCGGCGTCTACCACTGTCAGGTGGAGGAGCACGGCTACCACTGGACGGCGGTGACGGTCCGCCTCGCCGTCTGGAGCCCCTCGGCCAACCGCATCCGGGCGTCCCTTCCCTCCTCGGCCTATCAGAGCGCGGGGCCCTGGTACGACGACGTCATGGCGCTGGTTACCCCGGGCAACATCGCGCAGCACTGTAAGGCGCTGGGATTCAGGCCACCCAAGGGACACCGGAGGCACAACGCGGGCTTTCTGAGGGAGAAGAGCCAGTACAGAGGAGGGCAAAGGTCAGCCGGGAGGAAGAGCAGGAGTAAGCCTCAGCTCCGAGCACCCAGGAGCACCTGAACGCACCACCGATGAAACGCCAGGGTCCTGAACGCAACACAGAGGAGACTGAGAAACATGTACAGACGTAAATTAAGCACGTAGAGAAATGCAGGCTCAGACTATAGGCAAGTTCTGTTTCCCCAATATTTTTTATTTTATTTTATTTTTCAGTTTGGGGAAAATTGAACGAATATTACTTAGTTACTTTTTTATGTTTATTATTTTTTTATTTGTCTTTTAAGGTCTCAAAAGATCAGAAAAAAGCAGTTATGTGTATAGTACAAAGTGAAAATTAAAGTGGGACCCTCAAAAGACTGCAGTATTTTGGTACTTATTTATTTCTATTTTCTATTTATTGAGGAGGCAGTCACAAGAGAAACATTTAAAGGTGCACTAAGTAACTTTTCTGGTGGAGGGTATGTCACCTGCTTGTTTCCATGGAGATTTTATTGCATTGCCTGGATTGCATTGGGACAAGCAGTTATGTTTTACAAGGCATTTTTGAGTAATATAAAGTAAGTAAGTAAATCTTTATTTATATAGCACCTTTAACAGATAAAAAAAATCACAAAATGCTTTACAGAGCAAAACAACATAAAAACAACATTAACAAGAACAGAGTAATTACAGACACAGTAACTAAAAGCTTGTCTAAATAGAAGTGTCTTGAACTGCTTTTTAAAAGAGTCTATAGGGCTGTATTTTTCGGACTATAAGTCGCTCCGGAGTGTAAGTCACACCAGCCAAAAAATGTGTAATGAAGAAGAAAAACATATATAAGTTGCACTTTTTTGGGGGAAATTTATTTGATAAAATTGAGACCAGGAATCGACATTTCATCCTGAAAGGCAAGTTACTCAAGTTATCTCACTCCAAATCACTAAAAGCATTGAATTCTTCATCCTCAATGTCACTTCTGAGCAACTTCGCGACCTCCGGAGGTAAACGGAGCACCACTTCCTTTTCTGTGTAGCTGTCGTCAGACTCAGCATCGTTTCCAGTTAGAATTATTCCGGACTTTCTGAATCCCGACAGGATGGTTTCGGTCGTCACTTAAACTTTAAATTTTCAGTGGTGCAGAAATAATAGTGCGATCGACTGACATGGTCCCAGACAGGACAGCGGCTTTTTCTGCAGGAGACATGCGCAGTAGAGCCAAGTGACAGTGGTACAGGCGTAATAGTAGCAGCAGATAGTAGCACACAAGCCTAGAGCGCCGTCTCGAGATTGTCATTGTGAACATTTTAATATAAAAGTTGCACCGGAGCATAAATCGCAGGACCACCTAAACCATGAAAAAAAAAAAGTGCCACTTATAGTCCAAAAAATACGGTAATTTACATTGAAAGATACCAGGCAATGCAGTAACATCTCCATGGAGACAAGAAGATAGTAGACCTTCCCACCCATCCCTCTATCAGAAAAGTTACATAGTGTGCCTTTAATAAAAGCACTGGCAGTTGAATTGCTTTAAAATATAAAAGTAAATAATAAAAGATTCATATTGTGAATTCAGTTTTGCTTAATTCTTGTCTCAGATCCCACGTGTTTTGCCATTTTCCTTCAAAGTTTTGTGTGGACAAGTTACAGACTATAAAACTTTTAATTTCTTAGTTCTTAAAAGGCCCATATTACGCTATTTTCTGATCTGTGATGGAGTTTAAAGTTGTTTTCTCATCACAAACATGCCTGGATCATGACATCACAAGGTGGAACAGAGCGTTTTGAACTAGAACTTTGAACTAATATGAAACAAAACACAACTCCAGGTCTGTTTTTGATGAGGTAACAGCAGTATAACACGTCTTCAAGCTCACAAGAGTCAATTTTGCAAAATACACGACTTTATTTTTGGATTTTCAAAAACATTCCAATTTTCAATCCTGTATTTTTCACATCCACATCGATGCAATGACCCACTTTCCAATCTCTGTACAAAGAATTATGAAAAAATGTAACCCAACCATGTTTATTTATTAAAAAATAGCTGTACATATTTCATTTTTTACCCTATTCTCTGAGCCTGATAGCTTTCCTTTCACTCTCCCTCTCATCTGTACAAAAACCCGACGTTGGCATGTTTCTGTCTCATTACGAAGACAAAATGAGCTCACAACAGCGGACTGTGACATTTTAGACGCGTTTTTCTTTGGACTAAATGAAGGAGGATCCGCTGCTTTCACGCCAGAACATTTCAGACCACCTTTTTGTGACGATTTCTGCCTCCGAGCTTGTTATTTTTGTCTATTAATTATCGCCATACACACAGCTCTCTCCAGATGTTGTCAGATTGATTTTCGTAGCTTGAGGCGGACATCGAAAACATGATTTCATCCATCACGGACAACTTCACTGCCAAAGTTTTTTTTTTTTTTTCTCTCTCTCAAGGACGAGCTGAAAGTGTACAGGGCTAATGAGAAAGTGTGGTTGCTGAGATGGAGCGGGGTCTGAAGGTTTTAGTGCGCGTCCTTGAACTCGAAAATATTTATTGGAAGAGCGAGCAATTGAAAAGTAATGCAGGCTGGACTAATATGAGCAAGAAGTGTGGTGTTTTTCTCGAAAATCTGAAGTTTATTGATACTTTGAGGTGATACCGGGGGTGTTCTGCGCGTATGTGTATGGCAGAATGTTCAGCGGTTACCGTGGTGACGAAATGCACACACAAATGCTGCCAAAAAGGTTTTAAGATAAGATAACTCAAGAAAAAAATACAAAAATGGATTAAAACAGCACATTTTCAGGAGCCTGTGATCAATTCGAGCGTTTGTGATTCTGTTTAGGAGTTTGATTTTCAACAAAAAGGTGAGAGACTAATTGAAAAACTGTTGGGACTGTAATGTTATTTGAGAGGGACTAGTTTAACAGCACAAATCATCTCTCCTCAAGCTCTTTCTGGTCAGACTGTGTTAAAACCAAGTCCAGATTAAAGTCCAAGGCTACGTCCACACGACAACGCTCCTAGATTTTTTTTTTTTTTGCAGGTTGAAAAAAATGTGCGTCCACCCTCGTGTCGGATCAATAAATATTCACGTCCAGACGACAGCGGAGCACTGAGTGAAAACGACGTAATACATCTGCCACACCTGTATGTGGCGCTGTTAACCCTCTCAGGCTCAAGTTAAATTTTAGTAACAGGAAAAAATCTGATATTTGGGGAAAATGATCATATGGAGTAGTAATATATAATCCTGACTTTTTTTGAGAGACCTTCACATCCAGTGAGTTCTGGGATGTTGCAGATTTGCAGCATTGGTCCGGTGTGGTAAATTAACACTGAAGACTGAGAATGATATGAACACTAACTGTATGTGTAAACCACTTTTCATAACAATGAAAACATAAAGCTCAGTGTAACAGCTTTACAGTGGCAGAAAAACATCACTTTTTCATGTGGTTCTCCAAGAAACAATTTTTATCCTTTGTAAAGCACAAAAGTACTTTGCACTTCTGGCAGGCTGTTTGTGTGTAGTCATTCTTGCACAGTCTGCATCGTCCACGTTTATCAACATGGATGGGAAAAAAGGCTCCTGAGTAAAAAAAAGCTCATAAAATATGGATTTGGAGTAAAGTAGGTAATTGGCATTTAGCTGTTGCAAATCTGCAACGCCTGCCTGGAGAGGGTTAACAATGATAATAATACATTTTAATAATGCTTATCTCATCACCTTTTTTAAACTTTAAGGTAATTTAGACTGTTTTAGATGTTTCCCACAAATATCGCCGTATTGTTTTGCAAAAGTTAAACAAAAGTTTTCGTTTTTAGGCATAAGATTTGGATGAGAATTATTAGAGTAACTTGGTCTCAAAATCCAACAGTTTAATTACTCGTGCATAGTCTTCGTTATTGATCCGTGTGCGTGATCTGCGTGGTGCGTGTTGTTAGTATTGGCGTTAGCAGCGAGTCTCGGTTGCTGGGCGACGGGAGCGGCTTCGTAGGCTACACCTGTCACGTTTCGGGAGGAGGTTAGTTCGAGGGCTGCAGCCTTCACTGCATCAGAGGACCCTGGAGATGACGGGGTTGCATCGTTTTCCAAATGCTGCGGTTTTCTCGTCCACACAACAACGCGACGCCAGCATTCTCAGATTTCTCCACTTTGGAACCCATTCTTAAAAAAGACCATTTTCACACACTCAAAACGCCGGCTCCATGTGGACGAAAGACCAAAACGAATAAAAACTTCATCGTTTCGACCAAAAAACGTTGTCATGTGGACAGGCCCTTAGACAGAGAAGTGTCTAGAGTTATCACCACACCCTTGGGGAATGTTGATGGCATCAGCTGCAAAGTATCAATAACAGAGTGGAAAATATTGGGAGGTTTTGTGGTGAGATTCTGAAAACTACAGTTAAACAGTTACATATATTACAGCTTTTTTGTGTTATTATTACAAGGGGCACTGTATAAAGAACTGGTTTATAAATACAAATCTGAGGGACAAATCGGTGTTAATTTCATCAACTAAAATATTTCGTCATAATTTCCACCATCTTTTAGCTGACTACATAAAAGTTCATTATCATTACTAAAACAAGACTATTATTTCATAGATTTTCACCAGCTAAAATGATGGCTACAGATGTTTTTGTTGAATAATAAAACTAAACATAAACAAATGACTGGTACGGGTGGAAAAAGATCACCACTTTTAAATCCCAGACCTCGTGAAGCAATGCAATACAATTTGTCATTGAAGTATTTCAGTTAGTTAAAAAAAGACTTAAACAAAAATTATTATTGGACTAAATCTTGGAGAGAGATCTGGCTGCAGATTTTCACCCAGAGGATTGTCATGTGACGTACCTCCACGCACAGGTTTTCAGTGTAACGTTACTAAAGTCGACATTGTTTTACACTAAAAACCAGTGTTTCCCAAACTTTTTTTCTGGGCACCCATAGTTTAAAAGTCACAAACCTTCACAACCCAAGTCAATAGACATTATTCATAAAACACAAAATAAATTAAAGCTAGATTTGACCGTTATTTAACATTAATGAGGATATTTTATTGAGTGTCTCTCTGAACAATTAGTTTTACTCAAGTTTTAAACAATGAAAAACTGAAATTGAAGCAGCAATAAAAGGATCTATAAGTCGCCTATTTGGACTTTAAATGTCCTCTAATTCTTTTTCTTTTCAACATTCACTTGAAACAGCAATATTGGAAGAAAATAGTCAATAAAATAATTACAAAAAGATTAGAAATTACACAAAACATGTCTTAACATTTCAACATTTCTAGTGAGATAGCTGAGTTTTTTTAGGCAGAAATGTATATTGCAGACCGACATGCAGATCTTGAAAAGGCGACCTAAAAAAAATCTCTTGCGACCCACCTGAGAGTCACAGCCCAGTCTTTGGTAAACAATACTAAAGACAAGCCCAACCTTTCCGTTTAACCATAAAAGATTTGTGCCTAATCTTAACCAGACACACAGACACAGAGCCAAAACAAAACGACTCTGTTCTTTTGTATTTACGCAATTGTAGGCGACATGTTCACAATTAAATGTTTTATGTTTTACAGCCGAGACAGCACAAAGATAACTTCAAATTAGGACACTTTTAGAAATTTATTGGGGATTAAATGTACAATCTTTGAAGCGCTAATACATGCAAAAAAAATGTATTAGCTTTTAATAACGTTTAATTGCGATCTAAGGCAAAAACTGTAATTAATTTGCTTATAAAGAAGTGAAAATGGCGAGGGACACGTGGGTGGAGGTGCATCCCGGTCGAGTTCTGCAGCCAGACTCTGCTGAAATGTTAAATTGTGTAACTTTTCTGGTGGAGAATCCGCCGCCTACGTTTCTCCACGGAGATGTTATTGCTTTGTCTGAAATGTTTCGCAGTATGGCATTAAACCTTTCTATCATGACGGAAACCACGTTACAGGCCAGATCTGTGGACTACCTGAACATTTGAAGCAGAGCAACGACGTATCGATAGAAACAAGACAGCGACGGATCCCTAAAAATTATATTCGTCAAAAAAACAGTAGCCGTGCAAATTTCCTTTTAACACCGTTCGGAGCAGTGGAGAAAAGTGAAGTAAATAACCCCTTGTAAATATAAAAAGTGTAAATACGTGCTTGCAAAAACACTATCTTCACCAGCGTCGTTAAACAGCCACACCGATAGGATCTTCATCATACCGGGGCCTGTCAGATTTACATATTTTTGTCACAAAGTTCTTGGTTGACCTCCCTCACCACAACATCTACTACAGATACACACACACACATTCTCGATACTTAATGTTCCTTTAAGCTTACAGTGTTCGTATCAGCCTCATCTTTGTAAATATTCTCCTTTGCCATACAGGAATATCTAAACAAAAAATGTACCATCATGTTTATCTTTAAATCAATTCCAAAATTTGATGAATCGGTGCCAAATCTACTGTAATCTTCCTGTTGCATAAGGTAGTTTTGTCTGGTATGTTAAAGGGCCCATATTACACTATTTCCTGATCTATGTTGTAATGTTGTTTACCTCGAGTTGTGTTTTGTTTCATTCGTACATGTTTAACACGCAAACAGAAAACACTTGATGTCGTGTGGAGGAAGTACAGGAAGTGCTTCATTAGAATCATTTGGACAATTTCAGACCTGGAATTGCCAATTTGTACTCAATTAATGGTAAAATGTAGCGCGAAAACTACCGCTTCATGACATCACGAGGTGGAACAGAGCATTTTGAGCTTTGGAGATGGAGACAGACTAATAAAAAATAAAAGGTTGCTCAAACATTTGTGAATGAAACTAAACACCTTCAGATAGGGCTGAACGATTTTAAGACAAAATTGAATTGCGATTTTTCTGGCAGATATTGCAATTTTGATTTCATCCACGATTTTTTATTTTTCAAATCAAGTTTCAGTGCACATGAACATTTGCAAACATCACAAAAACTTACATTATACCGCACCGTTTGGACCGTTTGCGCACATTTGTTTACGTTTTACAGAAACAAAACTTAAAACCGCATGGCTAATTTACATAAACTATAAGCGATGAAAAAAAAACGCTCGCAAAAATCAGCTCTTTCCTTGTGCGCTGATGCGGTTCAGCTTCTGTCGGACTAAAGGACACAACTACGAGTGTTCTTTCTGTGACAGAGGAGGTGCTGCTGATGGTGAGTCTGTTCTGTGCTTCTATCACGTTGAGGTCGGTTCGTGTTAAACTTTACACGAACGCCAGGTTTAAACCCTCGCCTCCTAGCGCCGTTTCACCGACCTCGACGCAGATCCATAAGGTGACGGTGGCAGTGTACGTTGAGTCGACGCAGAACTAAACTTCGCCCTTAAATTGGGTTTTAGGAGCACCGCAAAAAAAAAAAAAAAAATACAGATTTGACGCTCCCAAAATCGTGTTGTCTGAGATCGCGGTTTTCGGTCCAAAACGACTAACTCCAGGTATGTTTTTGATGAGGTAACAGCATTCTAACATGGCTTAAAGTTCACAAGAGTTAATATTGTGTATTATCGGCCCTTTAATTGCCAATGCAGGATCTAAACCAAGACCAGTCCAAGTACAACAAGGGGACTAAACCGTGTCTGAACTAGGACTAAACCAGACTAAGCTAAAACTAAACCGAATCTAAACTCGGACTACTTCAGGTATGAGACCGTTCTAAACCAGGTCTACAACTACAACTAAACCAGGATCAGCCTGTGTAATATAATCCTGGGCTTTTCAAGAACTTTTTGTGTGGCCCTGAACTTAAAGCTTTGAGAACTTCCTGCTTTCATACGCGTTCAATGCCGTAGCACATCCACTATAATATGGACTTCTAAGTGTTGTCTTTGGAATGAACTGTAATGGTTTGTAAATACTGCATGCTTCTCAAACGGTGGACCGCGGACCAAAAAGAGGCCCACTTTAAAACAATACATAAGAGCTGGACAATGGCCTGGACTGGACTGTCAGTTATGGATCAGGTCTGAAGATGTGTCAGGAAAAGGAGTGTAATGTTGAGAGATGTAAATATTCCTTCTTGATGTTATAATATTAAACCGATTCCAACTTATTTTATTTGTTTTGTCTTTTTATTGTGTGTATATGTGTGGACTTTTAGAGATGTTTCACCTGCATAAGTACGTGTTCACATTTAGAGACGTTTCACCTGTACATCTGTGTGTGTGAACATTTAGCTTCCGTTCACACATAGTCGGGTATGTTGAGAAACAAATATTTCCCTCCCTCCGTTTTCCAAAATAACATGGTGCACACAGCATTGTTTTCAAAAACGTTTTCAAGAAAAGTGTAGAAGAAATGCGACTGCTGCTCTGAATGCTTCATCTCACCTCACTTGTGGTGCGTCAGCTCCTAAAACACTCTTTATCTCACTTTACAGGCAAACACCAAACCTTAGTTTTCCAGAATCTCCACTCTAGTCGGAGTTTTTCGAAAGATTCGTTTTCAGAGGCAAATTCGCCATTTGCATGTAAAAGATGTGTACAAACGAAGGGAAATGTCTCTTGTTTTTAAAAATACCCGTGTGCATGTAAACGTTGCACCCTGCACATGCCGTGCCCCACAAACATATCTTACCCCTTTCTCTACCTCCTAAATTAACCCTAACCCCTTACACTAACCCTACCTGAACTCTTAACCGTAGCCCTAACCCTGGGTCTAACTTTCATCCTAGCCCAAACCTAGTCCCAACCTTAACCCTAACCTAATCCTAACCTCTAAACTTAAACTAACCCTACCATTTTTCTCATTTTTAATGTGTTGATTTTTTTTTTTTATCTAACATGGTGAACTTCCGGTTTGGGAGGGGGCGTGGTCACAATATACTTTTTTGTTCCTATTCCTTTGATGCATCTGTGTACCAAATTTGGCCAAAGTTTTTGTTGGGACATCCCATTGGCGAGGACAGATGTTTGGGCTGTTTCCATGGCAACACGATGGGAGATGGAGTGTGGGCCTCTTTGACTTTTTTGATCGAGACCATGTCACGAATGTGCGTACCAAATTTTATATGTTCTACGACCAGGGCGCTATTGCATCCATTTTTTAAATTTGCTTATATCGTTCTGTTCAGGATTGGGGTGTCCACCAATGATTAAAGTTTGAGTGAAATTTGCACAGCAACACTGTTTGATCTTTTAAAAACCTCTTAACAACTTTTAATTTTCCACTTGTCTAGATGATACAGAATGATAGGGTTAGGGTTAGGGGGCGCAACACAACTAATAATAATAATAATAATAATAATAATAATAAGAAGAAGAAGAAGAAGAAAAAACAGAACAATAATATAGAGCACATATATATATTTCATTGGAAAGTACTCGAGTCCAGTAACGCTCCTGTGAGGTCGATTGTCAATGACGAGCGCGTTGCATCGTGTTGTGTGTGTGTTGTGTGTGTTTCATATTATACGGCTTGTCTGAGGAAAGCCACTTGACATTTACACACTTCAGAAACACCTCCTGAACACGTCCCCACAGTCTCAACACAAACCCACACTCGCCCATTACACATCTGACCACAGACCGCTGGAAATTCAAAGTGGACAAACATTTAGACATATTCTCCATTAAACGTGATTGAAATGGTCAGATTTTCCTCCAGAAACCAAGCCAAAACCTGACGACGCATTTTGAAAAGACATAACATTTTTTGACATGGAAAGAGTCCTGCCTATTTAGATCATTGTTCAAGGTCTCAGACAAAATCCAACCCACAGCCTCCTAAGGCAGGCTGGAGACGGGCTAACCACTCTGCCACAGTGACGGTAAGCAGACATGCACTCATCTGTATAAATACTCTCCTTTGCAGAACAAGAATATCTAAACAAGTTTCATTCGCACATGTTTAACACACAAATCCTTCATATTTAGGCTGAGTCCTCAAACGGAAAACATTCTGTTCCACCTTGTGATGTCTAGTGGTAATACAGGGAGTGCTCCACTGTGTTTTTAAACTCCATACACCTTCACTAGAATCATCATTTCAGCCCTAGAATTGCCAATCTCTGCTAAACAAAAGGTAAAATAAGGTGGAACAGAGCATTTTGAGTGTTGGGGATGTAGACAGACTAATAGGCGAGTTTCATTGTTGACAAAAGCGCGCGTTGCATGCTGGGAATTATTTTGGTCGGCGGCAAGAAACACTAATTCAACATGACGGACGGAGCGAGAAAGCACGTAAAGGGTATTGATCCTGGTTATTTATCCACTCTAACGGCAGAGGACCCAAGACCATTTGACCAGAAATTGGTCATAAGCATCGACGGACGCCAAATCACCCTTTTCAACCTCTACAAAAAGGTGGACCAAACCAAATTTCTGGTCGGAATCGCCAACTACCTGGACAAATATTCACTTTGGCGATATCCACAATGACTTGGTGGAAACTCCTGGGCCATTCACAGCAGAAAACATGAAAACCTCCAAGAGTCTCGATGTGTTGTTGAACTTGTTGGAGTCCACGGTTTGTTAGGATCTTCTACGTTTGCTCTGCGGATGTTTGAAAGCCGTTTAATTCACCGTTAGCGGTTCTTTTCACTCAGAATACGAAAAAGACATTTTCCTTCTTTCCGTGCTTCTATTTGTGCATCCGATAATGCAGCAGGAATTTACCATATCGGGATAAATACGCGGGCACTGTGTTTGACCACTATCCTGTTTCTTGCCTCCGACCAAAATATTTCCCAGCATGCAACGCGGGCTTTTAATAACAATGACGTCAGCTGAAACTCACCTATAAGCTGAGTACTTTCTTCCACCACATTTAGAGAAGTTTCACCTGTACAAGTTCAAAAGTTTGGACTCACCCTCTTGCTCACAGTTTTTTTGTTTTTTTTTATATATATATATGTTAACTACTTTCTACATTTGCCATACACAAAAGACATTACAAACTGTATATGAAGTACAGTTATTATAGAAGTAAAATGTGCTGAATTATAAAATACTCAGGCTGGAGACAGGCTAACCACTCTGCCACAGTAACACTAAGCAGATATGCGCTCTCCTTATAGTTTATAGTACTGTCTTCATTCCGGGTCTGGTAAAAGTATTGCTTGAATATTTGCTGTTGCAGTGTTTACGGCTCCTGTTGAAAACTACTATAATTTACAGAGGCGGTTTCTCTACATAACTTCATAAATTATACACATAAATCTATTGTGTGGCTTTGTTATTACTATTATTACCTTAATTTTGTTAAATGAAAACTTAAGCTGCCAGTGAATTGTGGTCCTTGCTGTCTGTTTGTTATTTTGAACTCAATTTTTTTCTTCTTTTATTCACACATTGAACTTTTGCTCTGAAAAAAAAAAAAAAAAGTTCATATTTACCACTGGCATTATCTCAAAACTGAGCAATAATGAGGAAAGCCTGTCATTAACACGTCAACAGCTGTAATGGTTTTCTTCAACTGTCATGGTTGTCATGATTTAAAGATGAATTAGATTCTTGTGTGAGACATTAAACAAAACTGAAGTAAGTGAAGAGAAAGTGATCTTTACACCAAGTGAGCTTTAGTAATAATAATAATAATAATAATAATGCATTAGTCTTATGTAGTGCTTTTCCAGACACTTTACAGTTTATTACATTGTTCATTCACTCCACACTCAGTGGAGCCACTACTGTAGCCACAGCTGCCCCAGGGCTGAGTGAAGGAAGCGAGGCTGCCAATCTGCACCATCGACCCCTCCGACCACCAACAACACTCACGCACACTCCACATTCAGACTAGGCACATGTGGGTGAAGTGCTTTGCCTCAGGACACAAAGACAGTTTTTGTCAGTGGTGCTCCATTGTGATTTTCCCCGTGGTCTCACATCCAAGTACTGACCAGGTTTGACCACACAAACCCGAGCCACTTTAAACTGTTGTTACCTCCTCAAAAACAGACCTGGAGTTGTGTTTTGTTTCATTCACACATGTTTGAATTAGGGGTGTCAAATTATCTCTTTAATTGCGATTAATTAATTACAGTCATGTTTATGTTTATGTTTTTTAATCGCGTTCATCTCATTTTTAATCTCTAACTTTACTGTTTCTGTATGCGAGTTCCCCTATTATCAAAATCAGTTCTTCCGCTAAGACTTGTAATATTCTGCCCACATCTGTGATAAACCTGCACACGTCTGATCTCTGAAAACATCATGACACACACAGAACAGACTCACCATCAACACTCCACTGTCACAGAGAGAACACTCATATCCCACTGAGTCGTGTCCTTTAGTCCCACAGAAGCTGAACCACATCAGACGCACAAGAGTGTTTTTTTTTCTTTTTCTCCGCTTAGTTTATGCAAATGAGCCATGTGGTTTTAAGTTTCGTTTCTTCTTGCACAGATCTGCATTAAACACATTATAATGTCAAACGGGCTGATGTGGCTTTATATGGTTTATATGTTAAAGTTGAGTTTATTCATGCAGATTAGTAATTGTAATAATAATGATGATATTATTATATGAAAACGTTAATGATTAATTGAAAATCGATCATAAATTCTCCTATTGTTTTTTTTTTTATTTGTATTTTCTAATTATTTAGAGTTTGACAAAAGAATGACTGAATCTGTTAAAGTTTGTTAAACAATAAATGACTTTATACTTTTTTTTGTTATATAACTTTTGATGTCTTTTGATCAATAATGTAATAATGAATTTAAATGAAAATACCTCAAGTTGAAGCTTTTCTCAGCAATTTTTAGGTGAGATCATAATTAATTAATGTGTATTTTTTTTAATCTCTTGACAGCACTAGTTTAAATAATCTGTAATTATTAGTCTGTCTACATCTCCAAAGCTCAAAATGCTCTGTTCCACCTTGTGATGTCATGAAACGCTAGGTTTTAAATTAGCAGTTTCACCTTTAGTTCAGTAGAGATTGGAAATCCCAGGACTGAAATAATCCAAATGATTTTAGTGAAGCTGTAAGAAGTTTAAAAACACAGGGGAGCAATTCATGTATAACCACATAACCACATGACATCACAAGGTGGAACAGAGTGTTTTCTCAGCCTAAATGTGCGGAGTTTGTACGTTAAACATGTGT